TAGAACTGAACTAGAACTGAACTAGAACTGAACTAGAACTGAACTAGAACTGAACTAGAACTGAACTAAACTTGAACTGAACTAGAACTGAACTAGAACTGAACTAGAACTGAACTAAAACTGAACTAGAACTGAACTAGAACTGAACTAGAACTGAACTAGAACTGAACTAGAACTGAACTAGAACTGAACTAGAACTGAACTAGAACTGAACTAGAACTGAACTAGAACTGAACTTGAACTGAACTAGAACTGAACTAGAACTAGAACTGAACTAGAACTGAACTAGAACTGAACTAGAACTGAACTAGAACTGAACTAGAACTGAACTAGAACTAAACTAGAACGGAACTAGAACTGAACTAGAACTGAACTAGAACTGAACTAGAACTGAACTAGAACTGAACTAGAACTGAACTAGAACTGAACTAGAACTGAACTAGAACTGAACTAGAACTGAACTAGAACTGAAGTAGAACTGAAGTAGAACTGAACTAGAACTGAACTAGAATGAACTAGAACTAAACTAGAACTGAACTAGAACTGAACTAGAACTGAACTAGAACTGAACTAGAACTGAAGTAGAACTGAACTAGAACTGAACTAGAACTGAACTAGAATGAACTAGAACTAAACTAGAACTGAACTCCGACCTATAATAGAATACAATTCTCATGTATTGGCCGGTGCTTCAAAATCTATTTTGTGGCTACTCGACCGCGTACAGGAGGTGGCGAAGGTATTTATCGGTGGCTCTATTGACTCATTGGACCACCGTCGCAATGTGGGCTATGTTTCACTGTTCTACCGATGTACAATGTTCTTCTGAAATTAGGGAACTTGTTCCCAAAACCCGCATCTTTTTGCGTAACACACCCATATGTGGTCGACTGGCCAGTGGATCGCACAATGCATTACAGGAAGAATTCATCCTTAGTCTTTAGTATGTGAAACAAACTTCCCCCAGAAGTCTTTCCTGTCACCTATATAATGTAGTAAGTTTAAATCGAATGTCCACAAACACTACTCCCTATATCCTCCCCCCATAACCAATTTTTTCTAGTTCCAACGCAATACCCCACATGAGTACGGGTAATCCCCAACAACAACAAAAAAAAAAAAAAAAACAACATTAATCATTTTTATATTATACTTAATTATAACAACAAATATTAAATATTAACATTTCTATGTTAACCATAAAGCCGACAACACTTAAAATGAGACATTCGTTTTTAATAATTCCATTAATTTTATTCGCAATTCAATCTATTCAATTCGTACAAAATGTAAATCACAATAAAAATGTTAAATGGTACTTAGAAAAAAATAATTTGTATTATATTGTTATACAGCCAGAAGTAAGTGAATGAAAATAAAAAATAATTAAATTTCTCATTTCTGTTCTTAACTTTTTAGCATAATTGGTATACAGCTTTGAGTTTGTGTAATGACAAGGGTATGGATATGTTGTTGAAGGACAAATATGAATTAGCTGCCCTAATAACTAAAAACTATGGTAACAATGCAGAATATTGGGTTAATGGAGGCATCATACGTAATAATTTATGCAGTTATTTTAAATATTCCTCAATCCAACAATCTAAATGTTCAGAACCGAAAGGTGTTATTTGTGAATCTGCAATTACCGGTGGTACAGTGCGCTTTAAGAATGGTACAGAACAAACATTTGGTCTTGAAATTCCGCAAAATTGTAAACTTTATACGGATATACTATATGATGATATTTTAGATTTTTGTATTATCCATTATAAACATAATAAGTTATGAATTTAAATGTAAAGTGGTCAATGGATATTGGACACTAATAATATTTAACAAGTAAGAAATTGTAGTTGGGCATGGCTTCTGTTAAAGGAATATAATGTATTATTAATATAATTATTTTTTATAATGATTCCGATATATATTTAAGCATTTTATTGCTTAAAAACTAATTTTTTATATAGTTTTTATATCTAGGGAAAATGTGGACCAATCTCCAACAAATTTGGTGAATTATCTTAAAAATTGCGACCTGCAGTCTGTTTCAAGATTTACAAGCCCTATTCTGGGGTTCAGTTATACGGGGACTAGGTGATATAATGGACCGATCTTAACCATTTTCAATAAATTTTTTCCTTGGGACAATAGCAAATCAGGTAACAAATCTCTTTTAATTATCTTCAAAATTTCGACCTGTTATTTGATTTCAAGGTTTACAAGCTCCATTGTGGGTTTCAATTATGTGAGGACTAGCTATAACCGTTTTCAATAGGCTTCGTCCTTGGGACAATAGAAGATCATGTATTAAATTTCACTGAATTATCATCAAAATTGCGAGCTGTAGTTTGATTACAAGATTTACAAGCCCTATTCTGGGGTTCAGTTATATGATTACAAGGTCTACAAGCCCTATTCCGGAAATCAGTTATATGATTACTGATTCTGGGGTTCAGTTATATGGGGACTGGGTGAAGTCTAGTCTTTAGTCTAGTCTATAGTCTAGTCTATAGTCTAATATATAGTCTAGTCTATAGTCTAGTCTATAGTCTAGTCTATAGTCTAGTCTATAGTCTAGTCTATAGTCTAGTCTATAGTCTAGTCTATAGTCTAGTCTATAGTCTAGTCTATAGTCTAGTCTATAGTCTAGTCTATGGTCTAGTCTATAGTCTAGTCTATAGTCTAGTCTATAGTCTAGTCTATAGTCTAGTCTATAGTCTAGTCTATGGTCTAGTCTATAGTCTAGTCTATAGTCTAGTCTATGGTCTAGTCTATAGTCTAGTCTATAGTCTAGTCTATGGTCTAGTCTATAGTCTAGTCTATAGTCTAGTCTATAGTCTAGTCTATAGTCTAGTCTATAGTCTAGTCTATAGTCTAGTCTATAGTCTAGTCTATAGTCTAGTCTATAGTCTAGTCTATAGTCTAGTCTATAGTCTAGTCTAGTCTATAGTCTAGTCTATAGTCTAGTCTATAGTCTAGTCTATAGTCTAGTCTATAGTCTAGTCTATAGTCTAGTCTATAGTCTAGTCTATAGTCTAGTCTATAGTCTAGTCTATAGTCTAGTCTATAGTCTAGTCTATAGTCTAGTCTATAGTCTAGTCTATAGTCTAGTCTATAGTCTAGTCTATAGTCTAGTCTATAGTCTAGTCTATAGTCTAGTCTATAGTCTAGTCTATAGTCTAGTCTATAGTCTAGTCTATAGTCTAGTCTATAGTCTAGTCTATAGTCTAGTCTATAGTCTAGTCTATAGTCTAGTCTATAGTCTAGTCTATAGTCTAGTCTATAGTCTAGTCTATAGTCTAGTCTATAGTCTAGTCTATAGTCTAGTCTATAGTCTAGTCTATAGTCTAGTCTATAGTCTAGTCTATAGTCTAGTCTATAGTCTAGTCTATAGTCTAGTCTATAGTCTAGTCTATAGTCTAGTCTATAGTCTAGTAGTCTAGTCTAGTCTAGTCTATAGTCTAGTCTATAGTCTAGTCTATAGTCTAGTCTATAGTCTAGTCTATAGTCTAGTCTATAGTCTAGTCTATAGTCTAGTCTATAGTCTAGTCTATAGTCTAGTCTATAGTCTAGTCTAGTCTATAGTCTAGTCTAGTCTAGTCTATAGTCTAGTCTATAGTCTAGTCTATAGTCTAGTCTATAGTCTAGTCTATAGTCTAGTCTACAGTCTAGTCCATATTCTAGTCTATAGTCTAGTCCGTATACTAGTCTATAGGACATAGCTAAATCGATTTAGAAAATGATTCTGAACCGATTGGTATACTTTAAAAACTGGTTTAAGAGATCGCCTCGAGTTTGCTCCATAATGACTACAGGACCTCATAGAACAGAATATTTAAAGCATTTAAAATAATCATATTAAATTTATTAAAATATTTAAAATTTTTTTATAATTATTTGATATAAATTTCTTCTGGATAATATACTTCTGGTACAAAAAATTTTTGGACTTTTCTATAGCACAAACATCGGGTAAATGCATAAATAATAATGGCGACAATGGCCGCTGCTGATAATAATATAATTAAATAGAAATTCGAATCATTCTGAGCCTTTACATAACTACGCTGACAGATAAAACCCAATTCGGAATCGTATTTAATGGGATTATTTTTTCGGGGAGTAGCACAACTGTAATGGGTCTCGTTATTAAAGCCAAACCAATAACTGGGTGCAGAACCATAATTAATAAATAAATAATCCTTAAGAACACGATTTTTAGCATAATCTGTTATAACCACCAAAGACATTTGACGTTTATCACACTCATCATAGGCTTTTTCACAAGTGAACTACAAATTGAGATTTTAGAATAAATAAGGAATCGAAAAAAAAATTTACGAAAAAATGAAATACTTTTTCTTCGGGTTGTACAAAATACACGATGTTGTTACTATTAAACGAAGAATTTCCTTTAAGTAAAGATTTCTCGCAAATAAAACCATGCTGCTGATCACAATTATCGGGTAAATATTTAAAATTTGTGGAATTATCAAATTTATTACATCTTTGTCCATTATATTTTCCCAAACCGATTTGATGCAAAACATTGGTCCATTTTTGTTTAGTATTGGTCCAAAAAGGAGCATAATGTTCTTTAAAAATTAAAAAAAAAAATTAAACTTTTCGTTTAGAAATGTTTAGTACAACTCACTAAAATTCTTTTTAATGGCCTCTTTCAGTTTAACATAGTCGTAGTCACCACCACGGGGACTAATCAAATTTGAATGTTCCTTTTTACATTCGGCCGCGGCCTGTTCCCAAGTGTACTATTAGCAAAAGCGAAATTTAAATAATTTGGCCTAATAAAAAACTTTAAAGTAATACCTTACCTTGGCCTCCGGTTCAACACGATACAGTTCGTTATCAATTTCCAACCATTTACGTTTATTTTCACTTGCCTCCACATTAAATTGGAATACAAGGAAAATAGTGAGAAATTGCAAAATTAGAATAGTGAAGAGTTTCATGGCCCACGTAATACTGTGTTCTGAACAATGATGTGATGGATGTTATACAAAAATGTATAATTTTATCTTGTTTAACCCATTAGGGCAGCGATACATTTAACAAGCTAGACCTTACAATATGAAACAATTTATAAAGCGTTCAGTGCTCAGTGGTATAATAATGATAATAATGACTAAAGAAAGTATTTTAAAAATACTTGTCTTGCGGTTGTTAGTTGCTTAGAATAAAAATATATAATCACAGTTCTTAACTGAAATAGTCTATAAAAACCCCAAAACCCATACGCATTTCAAAGTACATATATGTACCTAAGTATAAATAAAACATTATGATCTAGTTTGTTATAAATGTTCATCACATTTGTGAAATCGTTTCGCTCATAAATACATATTTGAACGAAAGCCAGACAATCTTCTCAGTAATTTAGAAAAAGAACAGTAACAAATTCCGTTAAATGAAAATTTTTTTTTAAGGCAACAAGTTTTATTACTAGCCGGGGCCGCCGTTAATTTTGACAGACCCAGCTCTTCGATGATAAAACAAAAGTTGATATTTCCCAGAAAAACTAAATCAATTGATAAGGAGAAAGTCAAGAAATTTAAGATTGCTTATGATGTAGGGATATAGATTATATAGAGTAGACTATAAACTAGGTAACAGATAGTCTAGCCTATAGGCCAGTCTTTAATCTAGTATATAGTCTAGTATATAGTCTAGTGAATAGTCTAGTCCACTGTCTAGTCTATAGTCTATACTATAGTCTAGTCTATAGACTAGTCTATAGTCTAGTCTATAGTCTAGTCTATAGTCTAGTCTAGTTAATAGTCTAGTCTAGTCTACAGTCTAGTCTAGTCTATAGTCTAGTCTAGTCTAGTCTATAGTCTATAGTCTATAGTCTAGTCTAGTCTAGTCTAGTCTATAGTCTAGTCTAGTCTATAGTCTATAGTCTAGTCTATAGTCTATAGTCTAGTCTAGTCTAGTCTATAGTCTAGTCTAGACTATAGTCTAGTCTAGTCTAGTCTATAGTCTAGTCTATAGTCTAGTCTATAGTCTAGTCTATAGTCTAGTCTATAGTCTAGTCTATAGTCTAGTCTATAGTCTAGTCTATAGTCTAGTCTATAGTCTAGTCTATAGTCTAGTCTATAGTCTAGTCTATAGTCTAGTCTATAGTCTAGTCTATAGTCTAGTCTATAGTCTAGTCTATAGTCTAGTCTATAGTCTAGTCTATAGTCTAGTCTATAGTCTAGTCTATAGTCTAGTCTATAGTCTAGTCTATAGTCTAGTCTATAGTCTAGTCTATAGTCTAGTCTATAGTCTAGTCTATAGTCTAGTCTATAGTCTAGTCTATAGTCTAGTCTATAGTCTAGTCTATAGTCTAGTCTATAGTCTAGTCTATAGTCTAGTCTATAGTCTAGTCTATAGTCTAGTCTATAGTCTAGTCTATAGTCTAGTCTATAGTCTAGTCTATAGTCTAGTCTATAGTCTAGTCTATAGTCTAGTCTATAGTCTAGTCTAGTCTAGTCTATAGTCTAGTATATCTCTAGTCTAGTCTATAGTCTAGTCTATAGTCTAGTCTAGTCTATAGTCTAGTCTAGTCTAGTCTAGTCTATAGTCTAGTCTAGTCTATAGTCTAGTCTAGTCTATAGTCTAGTCTATAGTCTAGTATATAGTCTAGTCTAGTCTAGTCTATAGTCTAGTCTATAGTCTAGTCTATAGTCTAGTCTATAGTCTAGTCTATAGTCTAGTCATTAGTCTCTATAGTCTAGTCTATAGTCTAGTCTATAGTCTAGTCTATAGTCTAGTCTATAGTCTAGTCTGTAGTCTAGTCTATAGTCTAGTCTATAGTCTAGTCTATAGTCTAGTCTATAGTCTAGTCTATAGTCTAGTCTATAGTCTAGTCTATAGTCTAGTCTATAGTCTAGTCTATAGTCTAGTCATAGTCTAGTCTATAGTCTAGTCTATAGTCTAGTCTATAGTCTAGTCTATAGTCTAGTCTATAGTCTAGTCTATAGTCTAGTCTATAGTCTAGTCTATAGTCTAGTCTATAGTCTAGTCTATAGTCTAGTCTATAGTCTAGTCTATAGTCTAGTCTATAGTCTAGTCTATAGTCTAGTCTATAGTCTAGTCTAGTCTATAGTCTAGTCTAGTCTATAGTCTAGTCAATAGTCTAGTCTATAGTCCAGTCCGTAGTATATAGTCTAGTCTAGTCAATATGCTAGTCTATTGTCTAGTCTGTGGTCTATTGTCTAGATTATAGTCTAGTATATAGTCTAGTCTATAGTATAGTATGCTCTAGTCTAATGTCTAGCCAGTAGTCTAGTCTAAAATCTAGTCTATAGTCCAATCTATAGTCTACTCTATAGTATAGTCTATAGTCTAGTCTAGACTATAGTCTAGTCATTAGTCTATTCTATCGTCCAGTCAATCGACTAATTTATAGTCTATTCTATAGTTTATGCTAATGTCTATTCTATCGTCTAGTCCTTCGTCCGGTGTCGGACCAAAAATCACTTATAAGTTCGGTTAAAAACATGTAAATGAAAAAGAGTCCTAATTTGGTGATCACTCATAGTTTTCTTCTAAAAAGTGTTTCTTTAAATTTTACAAGTTGTGACATGAAAAAAATCCCCATGCTTTTAATTAGTTCAGGCTTATTGCCAAAGACCTAATTTTAATTAATGCGACTATATCCCACTTTAGAGACAAACATTTAAATTTTTACATGAAAATATTTATTTAAAGCAAAATTCCCTGCTGTTTTATTTTTCTTTTCGTTTAAAATCACAGAACAGAAAAAAACTTTTATTTTTCAATGGCAAACAAATCTTTGTATTTAATCTTTAATTTTAAAATAAACCCAAGATTATTTGTTCTCTTTAAAAGCTTGAGGTTTTGTTAATGGGTCAATTTCCAAAAAAAGTGACAAAAATTAAAAAAATACAAATATTTTCATTAATTAATTTATAAAAGAACAAAAACAAAATTTAAAAAAGTTCAAAATAAGTGACCTATAAATGAAAATACTTTTATTCCAACAAAAAACACATGTTTCTTTTAAACAGAATTTTACGAGTGTTAAACTGTTTTAATGTGAATTTCTTTAAATTATTTTTTTGCAAAAGGGTTACAAAAAATAATAAAAAGTGAATTTTGTTAAAAGTTTATATTTATTTTGGCTGTTTTGAAATGTAATGAAAACATTAGTCATGCTTAAGAATTTATAGTTTTATTTATTACCTTTTTTTAACTGCAATGTAAAAACAAAATAAAATCAACAGATTAACAGCAACAAAAAAAAAAAAACTATAAATTTTATATAAATTATTATGGAGCCAATAGTGTTAAAATTTTTATAATAAACCTTTCAATTTGTTTAAATAAAATTTTGTTTTAATTATTTTTATTATTTTTTAATGCTAGTCATAAAATATAATTTAATTGTACATTATTTTTGTTTAAAATATATTATTACACATTGCACTTTAACAAAAGAAAACTTTATACATTTTACATACACATGTACATATGTATGTATATGTAAAAGATTCTTTAGCTCACGTATCTTACGTTGCAACGGCTAAAACAATTGTTTAAATTTCAATTTAACAATAAATTGTAAAAAATAAATAAAAACAACAAATCGAACGTGTGGCACGAGATTTATTTTGCAAAAAAATATTTCTGTAAAACACATAAAGAAACAAGAAAACAAGGACGTTATAGATAATTCTGTTTTGTAATAAAATACACCCTACAGCAAAGGTATCAACTCAACTAAATTAGTTTATCTACAAAGTACACCTATAGAATAGGCTAGACTATAGACTAGTCTATAGACTAGACTATAGACTAGACTATAGACTAGACTATAGGCTAGACTATAGACTAGACTATAGACTAGACTATAGACTAGACTATAGACTAGACTATAGACTAGACTATAGACTAGACTATAGACTAGACTATAGACTAGACTATAGACTAGACTATAGACTAGACTATAGACTAGACTATAGACTAGACTATAGACTAGACTATAGACTAGACTATAGACTAGATATAGACTAGACTAGACTAGACTCTAGACTAGTCTATAGACTAGACTATAGACTGACTGACTAGACTATAGACTAGATAAGACTAGACTATAGACTAGACTATAGACTAGACTATAGACTAGACTATAGACTAGACTATAGACTAGACTATAGACTAGACTATAGACTAGACTATAGACTAGACTATAGACTAGACTATAGACTAGACTATAGACTAGACTAGACTATAGACTAGACTAGACTATAGACTAGACTATAGACTAGACTATAGACTAGACTAGACTAGACTAGACTAGACTAGACTATAGACTAGACTAGACTATAGACTAGATAGACTATAGACTATAGACTAGACTATAGACTAGACTATAGGCTAGACTATAGACTAGACTATAGAACTAGACTATAGACTAGACTATAGACTAGACTATAGACAGACTATAGCTAGACTATAGACTAGACTATAGACTAGACTATAGACTAGACTAGACTAGACTATAGACTAGACTAGACTAGACTATAGACTAGACTATAGACTAGACTATAGACTAGACTATAGACTAGACTATAGACTAGACTATAGACTAGACTATAGGCTAGACTTAGACTAGACTATAGCTAGACATAGACTAGACTATAGACTAGACTATAGACTAGACTATAGACTAGACTAAGGCTAGACTATAGACTAGACTATAGACAGACTATAGACTAGACTATAGACTAGACTATAGACTATAGACTAGACTATAGACTAGACTATAGAGACTAGACTAGACTATAGACTAGACTATGACTAGACTATAGACTAGATAGACTAGACTATAGACTAGACTATAGACTAGACTATAGCCTAGACTATAGGCTAGACTAAAGGCTAGACTATAGACTAGACTATAGACTAACTATAGACTAGACTATAGACTAGACTATGACTAGACTAGACTATATACTAGACTATAGACTAG